AAATGCTTACCTAATATTGTAATTGTTTCTTTACATTTTAGAAATGATAACCCCCCCCTCCCTATTTTATGTAAGCCGCCCTGAGTCCCCTCAGGGAAAAGGGCGGCCTATAAATGTTAATAAAATCCAAAATCCAAATAATTAAATATTTAATAGGATGATTTAGGAAGTCAACACCCATAGTTTCCAGCCAGCATGGCTAAAGGCTGAAGGGCATTAAATAGGGGAATTTTATTGATGGGTTCTGCAAAAGGACAAATTATCTAAATGACCTTCATGAAAAAACACCAAGTAATAAGCCTAAGCTCTGCCTCAACTTTGAATAACTGTGGTTTAATTCTACAGGTATGTAACAGAATTTGTAAACCTAGGCAATGTTTCAGCTCTTCGAACTTTCAGAGTATTGAGAGCTTTGAAAACTATTTCTGTAATTCCAGGTAAGGAGTGGCTTGGCGAAGTGCCAGGCCCCTGGTATTTCCAGCTGTTTTTTGTGTGCTGTCATTGTGTTTGTGTGTGAACTCCCCTATTACAGATATGTGACAGAGTTTGTGGACCTGGGTAATGTCTCAGCGTTGAGAACATTCAGAGTTCTCCGGGCATTGAAAACAATATCAGTCATCCCAGGTGAGAGCTAGGTTAAACCCAGAGGCTGATTTTAATTTGTCAAAACTGCAGTCATATCTGTTTGGCCCATTTAATTGCTAATCTAGATTATTTGTCTAGAAACAATTCCTTTTTTTCTTGCTGTGGTGAAGACATCAGCCTTGGAGTTTAACACATTTCTGCATGAGATAGAACTGAAAATTATGTTATGTTGCACATGAAAATGGTTACCGTATTTTTCGGAGTATAAGACGCACTGGAGTATAAGACGCACTGGAGTATAAGACGCACCAAGTTTTTGAAGAGGCAATTTTTTTAAAAAAAATGGGTAGGTGGATAGAAAGAGACAGAGGGAGAGAAAGAGAGAGAAATAAGTAGGTAGATAGGGAAAGAGAGAGAGAGTAGATAAGTAGGTAGGTAGATAAAGGGAGAGAGAGAGAGAGAAATACAGTAGGTAGTAGGGAGAGACAGTGTGTGTAGGCAGTAGGTAGAGGGATAGAGAGAGAGAGAAATAGAGAGAGAAATACAGTAAGGTAGGGAGAGAGAGAGAGAGTAGGTAGGTAGGTAGATAGAGGAGAGAGAGAGAGAGAAACACGGTAGGTAGGGAGAGAGAGAGAGTAGGTAGGTAGGTAGATGTTTCCAGGTATATTCATCATTGTGCTGGAGAAGGAAATCGCTGACAACCTGCAGCACCTAAAACTTTGTTTCTGCTAGCACAGCATTTGATCAATGTAATTCTCATCTATCAGTTAAAGAGCTTTCCAAAAGGGAAAAAAATGTTTCTGCAAACCTCCTCAAAAATGGCTTGTTTTTCGTGAAAACGGGCCCATTTTTTTTCCAAATAAAGGGCATGAATAGCCTTGGGGGGGGCTTGCACAGTGCTCGTGGGGGGGGTCATAAATGAGCAAAAAAAGGCCCCATTTTTTGTCAAAAAAATTACATGCATAGCCTTATGGAGGCTTATAGAGTGCTGCTGGGGGCTGGGTGGGCATAAAACGGCCCATTTGTTGTTCATTTCTGCCCTCCCCAGCCCCCGGGAGCTCTTTGAAAGCCTTTATAAGGCTATGCATGCAATTTTGGCAAGGCAGTTTTTGTGAAGGGGCGAGGCTTCAGGAGGCAAAAAATGTTGTATTCGATGTATAAGACACACTCAGATTTTCAGCCTCTTTTTTGAGGAAAAAAGATGCGTCTTATACTCTGAAAAATACGGTAATCTTCTTTCATACAACAATATGAAAAATGGTTGCACTTTTCATATTCAGGTAGACTTTGCTTATTGAAATAATTTGGGAATGAGGACATTCGTATTTAGAAAATTAGAGTGCTAGTAAACCTTCTAATATGCTAATAAAGGAACTGCATGGATATTGCATGAATATAGCTTAAGAAGCATTACCTTCCAAATCACTTTTGGGCTTGAAAGGAGATGCTTCTTGTTAAGTCATGCTTGAAAAAATGTACTGTTGGTAAAAAAATTTCCTTACATCAAATCAAGGGTAGGCAACAAGATAACCCTGGGCACCAGCATGCCACAACACCTCCTTTGCTACTGTGTTAACAAGTCCTTTTATATAGGTATATAAGACCATTGTGAAGCAAAACTGCATCTTCTAATGTTCTATGGAATTATAAGAGCACTTCAAGTCCACCACTGGGCTCACAGAGAACAGACTGGGGAGAAGGGCTAATTTGACATCTGATAAATGGGTGTTGAGTGGCTCAGTGCTAAGATGCTGAGCTTGTCAATCAGAAAGGTCAGCAATTCAGAGTTTGAATCCGTAGCGCCACATAACAAGAGCGAGCTCCCATTACTTGTCCCAGCTTCTGCCAACCTAGCAGTTCGAAAGCATGTACAAATGCAAGTAGCAAAATAGGAGCCACCTTTGGTGGGAAGGCAACAGCGTTCCGTGCGCCTTCATGTTTAGTCATGTCAGCCACATGACAACGGAGACATCTTTGGACAGCGCTGGCTCTTCGGCTTTGAAACGGAAATGAGCATCGCCCACTAGAGTCGGGAACAACTAGTACATATGTGCGAGAGGAACCTTTATCTTTACCTAAATAGGTATCTTCTCATGTGAAATGTTTGTAATTAACCCATTATTTCAAAATTAAAGGTATCACACACACACACACAGCACACCACCAGTTGCCTACCCCTTGCATTAGCTGTTTGCAAAGTAAGAATAACTAAAGTTGCTGGCTTCCAGTCACAAAGCTGTTTAGGTGATGACGCTTTTTATATTCCTTTATAGTTGCCTTTTTTTAATGTTTCATGTCTCAAGAGTTTAAAGGCTTTCTCTTTTAGCAAAAAAGGTAATGACTTTGAAAAATAGGAACTGCTTGCATGAAACGTTTTAATTCATCTCAGTTGCCAACACCTAGAGCTCGAACCGAAGCTAATTTGGGATTATGCCTTTCTCCTTATTTTAGGCCTGAAGACAATTGTAGGTGCCCTCATTCAGTCTGTGAAGAAGCTTTCAGATGTTATGATCTTGACTCTGTTTTGTCTGAGTGTGTTTGCACTAATAGGATTGCAGTTGTTTATGGGTCACTTGAGGCATAAATGCTTGTATTGGCCGAATAACACTTCTCCTGAAGACCCACGCTTTAAGGAATACTACAATGGAACTGAGCTCTTGTGGTCTAAATATATGGAAAATAAAGGTAATGTTTAAATAACAACAGAAGTAGCAATAATAGTAATCCACTAGAGCAGGCGTCACCAACCTTTCGGACTTCAGGGACCACTAAATTCATAATTTTTAATCCCATGGACCACTGATATGGTTTTTTTAAAGATAAATAGTATTCAGTGCAATATAAAAATGCATATATTTTTTCTGCTGACTGCCAAAATTTTCTCGTGCACCACTGGTTGGTGACCACTGCACTAGAGTACTTGGATATGAATCTAAGCTTTGCCATAAATCCAATCGATGTATTTGGCCAGTTCTACATTCAGAAAATATTTGTGGAATCAAAAATATTACTGTGAATCAACTCACATCACACTTACCATCATTCAGTTGTTCCACAGGGTGGCACTCTTATTTTCCAATATTTAGTTCATTTGTGGTCTTTTTGATTAAAGTGAAAACATCATTTCTTGACACTGCCTGGCAATAGGGCTGATAAAGTAATAATAATTAATCTAAAAAAAAAATTCTGGAATAATTTTATTAAGTGGCTTCTCTGGATTAATTACCATATAAATTTAATTCATTTAGTATAGATCATTGAAAATGAATTGCTTAAATGAAGGGAAATCAGTGCTGTTGGTAAAAACACCATTTCAAATAAGAGTTGCAATATAGAACTGCAATAAATAACCAATAACTCATGTTTTGGATTTGAATCTAAATGCTCAGTCACAGATATAGATTAATTAATTAGTAGTTTTCTGTTGCAAAGTCAAAAGAAAAAGTAAAGCTCTTTGAAAATGCTAGGAGTGCTCTATTTGGAGAAAAATGACAATTTCCCGTCAATCAAGTTGTCCACTTTCCCAATAGTGATGTTAGTTTAATTAGTTAATTCATATTCACACACTGGCAGTACTTCACCTTGAAAATCAGATTTTAGTCATTTACGGAATCACATGGATTCCTAAGTAAAGATATTAAATAATAATAAAAAAGAATTGCTTGGATTCAGGAAATATAATGATATAATCAAGGTAGTCAACTTCCTTGAATTCCACACACACACACACACACACACACACACCAGTAATAATATCCTATTATCTTCATTACCGCTTCGGTAGCGGGAGCATGCACATGCGCAGAAGGCCCATGATAACGTCTGAGCGGGTGGGTGGAGCCTCGCACTGCCCCCATTACCGGTTCGGCTGAATTGGTGCGAACTGGCAGAATAGCAACACACACACACACACACACAACCATGTAACCTGCATTCCTAACTGCTTTGTCTTCTCCCATACAAGTCTAGTCACAAGACCAGTTATATTTAACAAGTTGCTATTAAAGATAGAACAGATTGTGCACTGTTAACTTATCACTATGTTAGTCTATCTTATTTCCCCATCTACATGCCTCCCAGATGTGTTTGGACTGCTTTATGTTGGGCAAGAGAGTTGTAGAGGCTACACACATCACAAACACAAGTAAGACATAGTCATTTTGCTCATAACACAAATTTGAAATTAGTTTCTTGGATGAAAAACCAGGACTGTTTAATGGTTTTACTTATATGAGTATTGTATAATACACATATTATAGCAAGCCTTTGCTTTTTTCAATACAGGAACACGTAAATCTGAAGTACTCAATGAAACTTTCTTTTAAAAAATTCAAATTTTAGTTTTAAAAGTTTAGAACTGAAAAAAACATGTCATAAAGATTTTTGTTTAATTTTTTATTCCATATAATTAACAATAATGGTATAGAGCATCAACAGAAATTTCTGGATTTTCCACAGTCAGGAGAACAAAACTGCGAAATATTGTGCATGGAATACCAATTTCTACCAAAAGTAGAAATCTCTATTGTGTCTCTTGATTACTTTCCAATGTATCGGGATGTTTTATTGGATTGTGACTCTTAGTGTGAAAATGTCTTTTGCGACAAACAGAAAACTCTGACTATGATATGAATGAAAATATCATAAGGTTGTTTTTTTTTCCCTTACCAGATCACTTTTACTACTTGGAAGGTGCAAAGGATGCCTTGCTCTGCGGTAATAGCTCAGATGCTGGGTAAGTATAGTTTAGAAGACAAATCCAATATTAGTAATCTAACTAAATCTGCTAGTCCAGTGATGCCTAACCTTTCTGTCGTTGTATGCTGAAAGTGCGCAAGTGCGCACGTACCCATAATGCAATGCATGTGCACCCCCTGCGCTCCACTTGCCCCCCCATGCACGTACATGTGACATACAGACCCTGCCGTGCTCCCCCTGGATGCACAACCTCATACATGCGCCACACACTCCGCACATGCATGCATGACCTCCACACGTGCACCCTGCTCCCCACACATGCATGCCTGTCTCCTGCATGTGCCCTGAAAACCAGCTGGCTTGGGCAAAGGCTTGTGTGCCCGCAGAGAGGGCTCTATGTGCCATAGGTTCACCATTACGGTGCTAGTCCATTAACTACTTTCCATTGAATGCTAACATATTTGAGCAAAAGCTATGGAAGAGAATTGGGGATGCTTTCTGGCATCATGGAACCTTATACAGAAAGCTGAAGCTTGAGGGAAGAAATGGGAGAAATCTAGTATTTCTTCTTTGCTTTATAATATGGCAAGAATATTCAAGCCACTAAAATACTTTGTCTTAAAAGCCCAGTTTAGTCCTAAAGTCCTAAATAAAACTTTGGTTTAGTACAAAGATTGGTTTCTTTAATTGGATAACAAAATATAATTTATTCTTGAAAGTCATAATAAGTTAATGGGAACTTTTTCACACACTCATTTATTGAGAATTAGTTTAGGTAGATCTAGAAATTTATTTGTTTTCTTTAAGAAGATAAGTAGGAGGAATAGCACCCGAAAATGGAAATCCAAAGGGGACTGAACCGCAGATATTCACTCCGATGGGACTCAGTGTGATGGACTCTTAAGTAATACAATGTCCTTAAATTTCTAAGGATAGTCTGGTTCTGATTCAGGTCAGCCAGGAATATGTACACAGGTTTTTGTTATCCACAGAATCTTCAAATCTTCATAAATCTACAGAGTAATTTGTATTTTGATTTTTAATGGACCTGATATATTTCTACACGTTTCAGTTTTTATGTCTTAGCTATTTTAGTCTAAAACAAGCATTTTAAAGTGCATTTGAAGTTTCTGTTCATGATTGATGCATTTGATTTGTTTTGTTTTGATTTGATTTGATTTGAGGAAGTATGACATTTGAGAGGCAATTTCACATATTAATCCTGGATATGGGATTATTTAAAATTCATCAGAATATTTAAATAAACTACTATAAAGTTTTTATTCTCAACTGTTCCATAAACCTCAGTATTTCGAGGTACAAAAGTGCAGTTATTCCTTCGTTTTTGCTTTGAGACATTGCATGTGCTTAATTAGAAAGTGTAAAAATGTTCATACATTCATCTTGATTTGTAGGCAGTGTCCAGAAGGATACATTTGTGTACCATACGGTAGAAACCCAGACTATGGCTATACAAGCTTTGATAGCTTTAGTTGGGCTTTCTTGTCACTCTTTCGCCTGATGACTCAGGATTACTGGGAGAACCTTTATCAACAGGTGAGAAAAATAACACTTTTAATTTTGAGAAAGGACCAAAAATTATTTATACAAGTGACTGAAAAATAAACCACCCTTTCCTATTGTGAATATGTTTTGGATGAAGAATTGCTATGAACCATTGGTTAGAGCAGTGGTTCTCAACCTGTGGGTCGCAACCCCTTTGGGGGTTGAACGACCCTTTCACAGGGGTCGCCTAAGACCATCCACCTCCACCGGCGTCGCCCATGCTCAGGAGCGCGTCCTGAAGCGGCAGGTGCATGAAGAGCACCAGGTGGCGAAGCAGCCTCCTCCCAGCTCCGTGCGCAACCCAGACGTCACCCCGCCCAGTCTCCGCGCCACACTGAAGGGGAAGAGAGACGGGTTCTTTGGAGGGACGGATCAGCCTCGGCTCCGGCGGACGTCCGAAGCGAGCGTGGTCTGCGGTGCCGCTTCAGCCCCTGCACAGGGGCTCTAATGCGCTCAGAGAGCAGGAGACTGGTGGGGCAGTTGGGCCACCTGCTTCAGCTGGCGGGACGGGTTCTCGCCCAGGCAGGCACTTGCTGGGATTCAAGCTGCCTTGAGCATGGACGCCCCTGCCGCCGGTCCTGTCCTGCGGGCTAAACTGAGCTCGGAGGCTTTTTGGGCTCTGTGAAGGGCTGGCAGGAGAGGCCGGAGGGGAGGACTGGCCCTGCCCACCCATTCCTTCCATCCCGAGGAATTCCACGCGGGACGGAAGCACAGTTCAATGTAGCTAAGCCTCCATTTAAAATCCCATTTAAAGGGCAACTTCTTAATCTGTGGAAAGAAAGAAAGAAAGAAAGAAGAAAGGGAGGGAGGAATGGAAAAAGAAAGAAAGATAGAAAGACAGAAAGAAAGAAGAAAAAGGAGGGAATGGAAAGAAAGAAAAAAAAGAAAAGGGAAGGAGGAATGGAAAGAAAAAGAAAGAAGAAAAGGGAGGGGGGAATGGAAAGAAAGAAAAGAGAGGGAGGAATGGAAAGAAAGAAAGAAAAAGAAAGAAAGAAAAAGAAAAACTGGGTGAGTGGGGGAAACGGAATGTAAAAAAAGTAAAATTAACAAAGTGAAACTCATGTAAACCACGAACTACTGCCGGAGGCAGGCAGGGAGGTCGTTTTATCCTGGAAAATCCCAGCTTGGCTGATCGTCTCCCAAACCAAGATTGGCAGATTAATCACTATGCTTTAATTATGTTCAATTTGTAATAATGAAAATACATCCTACATATCAGGTATTTACATTATGATTCATAACAGTAGCAAAATTATAGCTATGAAGTAGCAACGAAAATAATTTTATGGTTGCGGGGTGGGGGGGCTCACCACAACATGAGGAACTGTATTAAAGGTTCGCGGCATTGGGAAGGTTGAGAATCACTGCCCTAGGGAGATACACTGGTGGGACCCAGAAGAAGGGACTTCTCTGTGGTGGCTCCCTCTCAATGGAACATTATTCCCCCAGAGATTAGAATGGCTCCCACCCTA